AGAGTCACCAGGTACAATCTGAGAGCCACCGAGCATAGCCAGCCAGGCCATCCCCTCCCCCCATCCCTGTAGCCATCTGACTGTCATGTGAGACCCCAGAAGTCACCCTGCAGGGAGAGAGACATGCTAATTCCTAGAACATGATGGGGAGGGGGTGTCTGTGGCATACAGAGGACATTTTGTTCTCTGTACACAAGTCCATGGCCACTCCTCACACCCTCCTTCCTAAAGTGGGCCCAAGGGGCACTGTCTGTGTGGCACTTTGTCCATCTGTTGGATTTCAGTTGGTCATCCATGAAGCCAGTCCTGGGAGGATGTTGTTTAAAAAGTGCCATAACCAGCAGATTGGGGCTGGGATAGAGCCGGTCGCTGGCCCTGCCTGGCTGGGACAGGATGGCGGGTGGGCAGAGGAGCGGGCTGCACAGAGCCCCCTAAGAGCTGGCTGAGCCAGCATCTGTGAATCCACTCTGGGCCTCGGTGCCATAGGATGGTGCTCAGGGGCTGCATGTCCCATGAGGCGCCAAATGGTTTTAAATATGGGGATTTGAAGGCCAGCTCTGCCACTTACCGACTGTGAGATCTTGGGCAAGTCACTCAATGTCAGCTTTGCTCTGTTTCCTTATTTGTAAAAGGCAGAGAGGTGGGTGTTTATAGCAGTACCTAACTGGAAGGGTGTGATCAAAGGTAAACAAATTTATACCTTAATATGCATCATGTAGATGTGGATGCAGACAGCTATTGATGACAGGGATATAAGTACCTTTCATGAGCTGCCTTTATGTCCAGGCTCTGGGCATATCCGAGCCCCACGACCCTGCCCTGCCCTCAGAGAGTCACAGCCCATTGGGGGCAACACTTGTCAGCCACAGCTTCAGTGCCTCAGTGCCATCAGGGCTAAAAAGGCTGAGTGAGTGCAGGGAGGAGCCCTAACCCTTCCTTTGGGTCAGGGAAGACAGGAGGGGGTGAGGCAGGAGAGAGAAGACCGTGATCCAGGCAGAGTGAGCAGCATGGTAGAGCTGGTCCTGGGAGCTGCACGTGGTCCAGTCTGGGTCAGAGAGGAGGCTGCAAGTGCAGGACAAAGAATGCATGCACAGGGGAGGGCAGTCTTACTGCCCCCGCCCATGCCCAGAGCCCCTAATGGGCCCTGCTGCAGTCTGGTGCTGGCCCGATCACGCCAGCGAGAACCCCGCCCTGGTGTCAGTGCTGGCTGTCCCCACTCTGGCTGGGGCAGGAAGCAGCTTTTTATCTTCTTCTTATTCTGCTTCATTCATCTGAAAAATAAAAGCTCTTCCTCTCCTCCTCACCCTGGCATACATATTTCATATGGTCATTAGACGGTGGCACTAAAGGACTCACAAATCTTCCCTGGTCAGCATGATCAGCAGCCTGAGTGGGCAGTGAGAGGCCCCCAGGGCTGGAGGTCACTGTGGGAACCATGGCTGTGCTCCATCCAACCCGGGTGGGGGAGGGTGGGCCTTGGGCTGTGGAAGCCAGCATCTGCTGAGACAGTCCCATTGTGCCTATATTTCCCTGGCCTCGGCTGCTCCAGGCCCCAGGGTGAAGATACGGGACCAGGGGACCTCAGGAGTTTTTTCTGTCCTGACAGTCCAAGTGCAATTCTGTAGGACACCCAGATATGCAGGGCTCACTTCCAAATGTGACCTTGCCAGGGGCAGGGACCCTCTGAGGCTTGACAGCCCCTCTCTTCTCCTTTTCCCGTGCTCCTTCCCTTCTCCCTTTTGTTCCACTCCCTTCCTCTCCCTTATGGCCTCTCTCTTCTTTGTCTTTGCCCCCATCTCTCTGCCCCTTCCCTTTTTCCCATGACCCCCCATTCTTACTAGAATTTGCTCATTCATTTTTCAAGCATTCATGGAGCATCTACCGTGTGCAGGCACTGTCTGTGCTGGGCATGGAGCCCCACAAATGCCCACCCCACTGTTTGGTCACACAGCAGCCAGGCTGTTGACACTGGCCTGGGGCTGGGACCTCTGTACCACACTGACCCCTGGCCAAGGAGCTCCAGGGCATTGCAGTCAGGTGTTCCTCAGATCAAGCCGCAGTTATTACAGTCTCATCATGCAACGCACAGTGATGACTTGTCAGGGGAGCTCAGGGTGGGAAGCATTCTGGGATTCCTCTTCCTCCCTTATCCTCAGGTCCCTGGAAGGGGAGGGAGCTTTGGTCTCCTCTCCCCTGGAATATCCCAGCTTCCTTCCTTCCGAGGAAAAATTCTTCTCTTTGTTTAGATGGCAATAACTCACAGAAGCTACGGGCATGGCGAGACAGCACAGGTTCAAATCCCATCTCTGTCCTTTTTCTAGCTGAGAACCTTTGGGCTAGCTATTTACCATCTCTGTGCCTCAGTTTCCCCATCTGTAAATTGGAGGTGGTACTAATAGCAGCACCTACCTCTAGGGTTGCTATGAGGATGAAAAGTGAAATTTGTGCAAGGTGCTCAATAAACAGCAGTTGTCATGAGGAGTGGCTCAGGGCAGCGGGTGAGGACCTTCAGGGGGCCAGTCCTGCGGCCTGTCCCTCCTGACATCTGGTGGAGGGTGAGTCACACCACTCCACACCTTCCTTTTCAATGATTCAACATGTGTCTCCTGAGAACCGGTGATGTACTCAGAGCCTGGCCGGGACAGTGGTGGGACAGACGTCTGCACACAGTGTACAGAAACATAAGCTGTGGGGACACTGGGAAATCAGGCACGAGAGGCAGCCTAGAGCACACAGAAATGGCATCTCTCTGTATAGCCGAGTTTCCCAGATAACTAAAATACTAACCCTTTGGCTATAAACATTTTTAAAATTTTTATTCATTTGGGATAGAAATATGTTATTCACTTATCTGCCTTCCTGAACTGATTATACTAAACACAAATTAGCTTTTTCCTGAAAATTCAGGTTTATCATAAGGAACATAGAATTGAATAGATTTCATAGAATCTAGGAGCTTTAAAAGGAAACCTCAGAAAATGTTTGGTACAGAGGTATTAAAACATATTTTTAGCAACAGAGCCTTTATCCACTTACAATCTTACACAGAAACCCTGAATATAAAAGATATGTAAGTGGACCCCGAAGTCAGTCCGAGGCCCGTCCCTCCTGACATCTGGTGGCAGGCAGCAGTTTGCCTAGCTCCAAGGCAGTGGCCTCGGAAGGGAGCAGTGGTCACATGTAGAACAGCGCCTGGCACGGAATGTGTGTTTAATAAATAACTATGGGATGAGTGAATGAATGGTGTCATTTAACCTGCACTGTGGATTATAACCATGCCAGGGACAATGCAGAAGCCAGCAGTCCCAGCCACGAGACCCAACCGCCCACTGGAACTGCCATCATCTTGGGGAAGGGAGGAGAGGAAGAAGAGGCTCGCTGGGGTGTCCTAAGAGAAGAAGCAACAGGCAGGGAGTGGGGGACCTCCACTCTGCCTCTCCTCTGACCTGCTCACAAGCTAGAGTGACCACAGGCTTACATCGGGCCTTACTGTGGTCTGGGCTTCAGTTTTGTGGCCCGCGAGATGGGTGAAAATATCTGTCTTCCTCACCACATGGATGGATGTGAGGATAAAACGAGGTTGTCATCAGCACAAGGCTGGCCTTTCTCCCTCCAGTCTCTATTGATTGCAAGTGACAGAAAGCCAACTTGGACCAGCCTAAATCAAAGAGGTCTCAATGGACTCACAGACCAAACTGAGGGTGGGGAGGGATGTCTGGTTCAGGACTCTAGAACTACCAGGATCCGCCCTTCTCTTCTCTAGCTCTCCTCTGGGTGAAGCTTCATCCTCCCCAAACACCCAGCAGCTCCCAGTTCATGTTGTTCCAGCTTCACACCCTGGAGGAAAGCTTTTATCCCCAGCAATGAGAAGAATCCCAGAGAGGCTCTGTCAGACCCAGCTGTGGTCAAGGGCTGCTTGACCACAAGGGCCATTCCCTATGGTCAAGGGGTGGGGTAGGTGGCTTTCCACCTAATGGGACCATTTGTTCGAGCAGGGAGAGAAGCCAAAGAAGATGGTTGGAGATGGGGGGCAGACTGTTTCTAGAAGAGCACGTTACCAGGCAGATGATGCTGTGCCCTATGAATGCAGTAGGTGGTTCTCAGGGTCAAAGATGGGCAGGGGACCAGAAATCCCTCCAAAGGACCTCCCCCGCTGGGTAGCACATCTGACTTGTGGTCTTCAAGGATTGGGGGAGAATCACCAGAAGAATCCACCAGAAGGCTAAACCCACACCCACCTTTCTTTGTCATACATTGTGAACCTACAGGTTGTGACCCCAGGCCACAGGGTCTCTCCCCCAAGCCCTCTGAGAATCCGCAGAGAATCAGCCCGCTGGGCCTGACATGAATCCAGGAGAGGTGGTTCCACCCACTTAGAGATTTCTGGTAGAAGACTGGTCCTCTAGAACTGTGCTCTCCAACATGAATTTAAACAGTCATTTGTGGCTGGTGACAGACCACCTTATTGAACAGCATGGCTCTAGAAAATTTGGCTGGGGCCAAAGGAGTTGTGAGGGGAAACATGGGTCTCCTAGTGAGATGGCAAAGCTCAGCTGGGTCTGGCAGTGACGACTTCTTGTTCTCACCGTTGCAGGCAACAGACAATGATGTGGGCACCTTCGGGGAGGTCAACTACTTCTTCAGTGATGACCCTGACAGGTGAGACCCTGCCCCCAGCCCCTCTGCAGTGGCCCTCTGCCCCTCACAAGGACTGAGAAACTTCAGTGCCCAGGGAGGGCACTGGGCACCATGGCGAGAGCACTGAACTGGGAGCCAGAACCCAGGGACACCGTTGCTAGTTTGCCCTGACTGGTACAGTCTTGGTCACATCCCCTAAACTGTCTGGGGCATAGTTTCTCTGGCCCTCAAAAGATAGTCTTTAGCTCTGGGAACATAGACAATTGTGTCTCTGAGAGGCTTTGAACGCTAATGATCACACATACCACCACCACCACTGTGAGCAGCTATCACTTAGAAAGCCCTTACTATGTGTCAGACTCATGGCCAAGTGCTTTACATGCATTATCTCCTGTAATCCTCACAACCAAATGCCAGAGGAACTCAGTGCTAGGCACCATTATCACCCCCTCTTTACAGATGAGGAAATTGCAGCTCAGAGAGACTAAGTCACTTGCCCAAAGTCACACAACTGTTGAACACCAGCGCCAGGCCTCTGCATGTGGTCTTCAGCACTAGGATACACAGCCTCCAGCAGGAGGGGACTTTCAGCATGCCGTAGTCATCAGGCAGGTCGCTTGCCTCACCACCTGCCCTGTGCCAGCCTTGTCCTGCCACCCATCATGGCGACATGGTTCTGGGTTGGTTCTGGGCCATCTCTTTCCCTTGTCTTCAGTTAATCTGAGCTAGGGGAAGCCCTCCCGTTTTTAACATGATCAAAGGCCAGTTGAATTCAGAGGTCAGGTCTGCTTCTAAAAATGAAGTGTCTGATGCATTTGGAAGCCCAACAGAATGAGTAAGACAGTGGCTGTTGGCTTGCATGACCAGCCCCAGCCATCTGTGTGAGTGAGCAAGAAGAGACTTGGAGATTTTTAGGTGCATCTGGCCACTCTCTGCCACTCTGTGATGGGCAGAAGCCAGTGGGTGAATGCACAGGGCACACTGTCCTTCAGGGGACCTGTGTCCACNTGGGCAGAAGCCAGTGGGTGAATGCACAGGGCACACTGTCCTTCAGGGGACCTGTGTCCACGTGACCTTGTCTTGATCATCTTCGATCTTCTCATCTCTTCCTATCTTCTGTGCCTGGGGCTTTCTCTACCTCTGAGCTGGTGGCTTTCCCCTTCCAGGCTTGGTGGCTGACAGCTGTGGACCAGGTCAGAACACACCAATGTCACTGACAACTCAGATGAGGCTCCTGAGGGGACATTTAGAGGTGGCAGTTAGAGGGATCATCTCACTGGACCTTTCTATTCTCCAGGAGACATTTGCCAGACTCTTACCCAAGGCTCAGTCCCTCATGCAAAAGACAAGGGGTAGCTCCCAAGAGAGAACCAACCACCCTTCCCCTTACCTGATGCTCTTCTGCCCATTTAGACCATCTAGGATAGTAGGATTTCTGACCCTTACGTTTCTCTGGCATCTAAATATCTCCAGTGGAGTTAATCTGAGCTAGGGGAAGCCCTCCCCTTTTTAACATGATCAAAGGCCAGTCGAATTCAGAGGGCAGGTCTGCTTCTAAAAATGAAGTGTCTGATGCATTTGGAAGCCCAACAGAATGAGTAAGACAGTGGCTGTTGGCTTGCATGACCAGCCCCAGCCATCTGTGTGAGTGAGCAAGAAGAGACTTGGAGATTTTTAGGTGCATCTGGCCACTCTCTGCCACTCTGTGATGGGCAGAAGCCAGTGGGTGAATGCACAGGGCACACTGTCCTTCAGGGGACCTGTGTCCACATGACCTTGTCTTGATCATCTTGGATCTTCTCATCTCTTCCTATCTTCTGTGCCTGGGGCTTTCTCCATCTCTGAGCTGGTGGCTTTCCCCTTCCAGGCTTGGTGGCTGACAGCTGTGGACCAGGTCAAAACACACAAATGTCACTGACAACTCAGATGAGGCTCCTGAGGGGACATTTAGAGGTGGCAGTTAGAGGGATCATCTCACTGGACCTTTCTATTCTCCAGGAGACATTTGCCAGCCTCTTACCCAAGGCTCAGTCCCTCATGCAAAAGACAAGGGGTAGCTCCCAAGAGAGAACCAACCACCCTTCCCCTTACCAGATGCTCTTCTGCCCATTTAGACCATCTGGGAGAGTAGAATTTCTGACCCTTACGTTTCTCTGGCATCTAAATATATCCAGCGCGCAGAAACTCCTGTTCGTAGCAAGAGCAGGGTCATTCTGCCTGAGTTTCCTCCTTGATTAAATCAACCACTCCTCCTGTCTTCAGTACCTGACACTCTGCCCATCATATGATCCTGATCCCTGTCCACCACCTCCCACCCACCTCCCTTTAGAAATAGCTGCTTTTCTTATGGAGGGCAAGTGAAAGAGAAGGCAGATTTCAGACTTCATTCATTTCTGTTTGTCACCGTGGGCAAGGACTGGCTGGTAAATGCAGGCCCTTATTTATAAGCCTGCTTTAAACCATGGTGTCCCTTCTGTCTCTCCTTCCTATGTGACACAGATTCTCCCTGGACAAGGACACAGGGCTTATCATGCTGATTTCCAAACTGGACTATGAGCTCATCCAGCGCTTCACCTTAACAGTCATTGCGCGGGACGGGGGCGGCGAGGAGACCACGGGCCGGGTCAGGATCAATGTGTTAGATGTAAACGACAACGTGCCCACCTTCCAGAAGGATGCCTATGTGGGTGCCCTGAGAGAGAACGAGCCTTCAGTCACGCAGCTGGTGCGGCTCCGGGTAAGATACCAGCAAGACTTGCATTCCAGCCACTCATCTTGCCGGCTCCTGTCCTTTCTTCTTGACCCCCCTCTCGGGAACCCATCACAAAATGTGCTGACCTCTCATCCACAAAGAATGCTGTGCAAAGTTGGGGGCCACGTTCTTGGTCTGTGTTAGGCCTCCCCTGAGCATCACTTCATGCAGCTGGGGACTGAGTGGGGCTACTTACATAGTGTCTGTTTCAGCCTAAATTTCAGGTCATCGTTTAGCAAAAGGATGTCCTGCACTCCCAGCCATCTCCCTTGGCAAGCACACTGAGTGGGGAGCAGTTGATTGTATAAGGACCCCCATCCAAGCCCTGTAGTGGCTGCTTAGATCAGGAACTACAGCATCTGAAAGGAGCCGCAGAGACCATGGGGTTCAAGTCCACATCACAGAAGGGGAAACAGGATGCGAGAGTCTGGCCCAAGAAGCACAGTGAATTAGTAGAGCAGCAGAGCCAGGACTAGAACTGGGACTCATGTTCCAAGAGTCCTCCTGCAATGACTGCTCCATCATGTCTCAGTGACCTCGGTCGGGCCAGAGAGGTCCTTGTGCCCCTTTCCCACTCTGCCTATCCAAAGTGACAAGACCCAGAGCCCCCATTTGAACTCGTTTCTGAAGCAGACAGGGATGAAGGCAAGGGTGGAGGGGTGGGCATGGGGGACACACAGAAGGTAGGACCATGTGCCCACCTGACATGGCCATAGCTCCCCATAGGACCCTGCCCTCCACTCCCACTCAGCTCCAGACACATCCAGAGCAGGGGGACCACTGAACACTCTCTAGGGTCAGAGACAAACTGGAACAAGCTAATTAATACAGCCCCCAAGGGGAAGAAGGATTCTGGTCCCATTCCAAGTGCCATCTTACCTCCTTGCATTCATGCAACACACATTTACTGTGTGCCAAACACTGTGCTGGACTCGGTGTGCATCAGCAATCAAGAAACAAAGGTTCCTCTTGCACGAAGCTGATAGTCTAAGTAAGGCAGGCAGGAATTAAATAAGAAACTACAATCTACAGTCAGGAGTGAGGGACCGAGGGGGTGCATGGCACACCTGGTCTAGAGGTCAGGGAGCAGTCTGTGGTTGGGGTTCTTGAACTGGGGTGGAGGGAACTGGTCAGCCAGCTATGGTGGTGACCCTCCCCATCCCCTGGGCAAGCCTGGCCTCCCCCATTCTTCCTAGGCCCCCAGCCTGCCTCTAGACTTCTTGGGCTACCTCCACGCCCAGCACATGGAGGGAAGCAGATGTCTGCTGGCAGCCAGAGGGTGGCCTCCAGCTGAGGGACAAGGGGGGCCTCCTAGGGTCCTGGGCCAAGCCTGACCCAGGGCTGGATCACCCAGGGAAGGAGCTCTGAGCGGGATCAGCCCTCCCCACCACCCGCCCTCTTCTGGCCCTGGGCCTTCCGTGAGCTCACAGGTCCTGTCTGTCCTCTTCCTTCCAGGCGACAGACGAAGACTCTCCTCCCAACAACCAGATCACCTACAGCATCGTCAGTGCCTCTGCCTTTGGAAGCTTCTTCGACATCAGCGTGTATGAGGGTTATGGAGGTGTGTGAGGAGTAGAACCGTGGGCTCGGCCCAGGGAGGGGCTGGTGGGCTCTGCACAGTCACGGCTCTTCCTGGGGGTGGGGGATGGGAGAGCGGGCTGCCTTCTGTCTCCCAGACACCTTGGATTACTCAGGAGGCTGCCCAAGCTCCTGTCGGCTGGAGCAACATGTGGCCTGAGGTCACCCTTCCATAGGGTCAGCATCTGTCTCACATCAGCCAGATCTTTCTCTGGGTCTTAGGCCCATGGCCAGCCCTGCAGACAAGCTGGAAGTTGGGTGTTACCAGAATCTGTGGGGGTCCCTGTTTCTTACCAAGGCTGCCTGGGCAGATCTGTGGGGTGGAGGCTTGTTAGCTAAATATCCCCATCCTTTCTGGGGTGCTGTGGCTGCCTCTCAGCCTTCTCAGGCCGTGGCCTGGCCCTGCCTGCCCCGCTGTGAGTCCTGATCCTTAGAGCCCAGGCAGAGAATACAAGCATACTTCAAAAAGTTCGTGGAAAAATGGAACTGAAAGATAATACAAATCTTTCCATGAACTCTTTGAAGTACCCTCATAGCAGCAACCTCAAGCTCCAAGATCCCAAGAGAGACCACTTTGTTTTTCAGCCAGGGCAG